GTATGCAAAGGACCCTAAATTTGTTTCAGCTACAAAACATGAGATTGCTGATGCCTGTGACATGACTATTGATGAGATGGAAAGTGCAGCAAGCAATCTTCTCAATGGAAATATTAGCAATGGGACCAGCGGGGATATGTTTCCCATATTAAGCAGACAAGATTATGAACTTCAAGATTTTGGTCCTGGGTACAGTGATGAAGAACCAGACACTGGACGATACGAAGAAGACTTAGCAGATGAAATGATATGCATTACAAGCTTATAGTATTTATAGTATGGAAAATGATTTTAATAACAGAAAAAAAAAAAAAAAAGTGCCTCACAGTTTAAAGATGCTAGGCACTAGCTGGAGCTAAGAACCAACTGAGTTTTGTACAAGCGAAGTAACGCCTCAAGGAAGCCATAACTAATAAACACATTATCTCCAGGCTGCTGAAATGGGGTGAGAGCTGCAGTGCATCAAGTCTCCTACCACAGAATCTTTGGTTCCTCTATAGGAAGAAAAGGTTATTATGAAACCATGCAGATTCTGACAATCAGTTTTTTGAGGGCTAGAGTTGGGATTTTGAGGTGTAATATCTTGCCTGTCCTTCAACCTTGTGCTGCTGTCTGTCATAGTAGAGCAGGATGTTGTCAATGAAAATGTCTGTATAAGTTCAGCAAAAAATTGTGTGGGGAATAACTACATGAGTGATGACAACCAAGAGTGTCATTACCTCAGCACTCGAGAGCATATCAGCTATTCACTGCATATCCATTYTGATACTGTTTTCAAACTCGCCTCCTGATTTCTTTTCTTAATGCTCTTCTAAAATAGTTTGTCATGCTCTACCTGTTAGAGATCATCAAAAAAAAAAGTTAGATACTATTGTCATATGTAACACCAGTTTACATAGGAAAATATCATTCAGATAGTCTGTTTTATGACTATCACGTTAAGGGCAAAATATACTGGAATAATTGCATTCTTACTAATGCACTTGCAACCAGGTTATAGTAGAATTAGATAAGATAGTTTGCTAAAAATTATATAGTAGAAATTATTGTAAATGAATTGTAATATACAATGATTTGTATTTGTAAAGAGATGTTCTATATTTTGTAATTATTGTACCGTAATTGAACTGCAGCAATATTTATGGACCCTGATTATTGTAACTCTCCACAGAATTCTAGATATAAGTATTTTTACTTGGAATATATAGATCTATAGCATAAATATTTAAATAGAGCCACTTCTCAGTATAAATCTCTTTTTTGGGATAAACTATCAAGTTTAAACTTGACAACACTTTTAATTTTTGAGTCAAATGCATCATTGTACATAAGGGATGCACAGCTGATTATCTGCAGTCTTATAATCAGAACGTGAAAGATTTGAAATTATTTTWACTTTTTAATTGACAATAAGCTGTGATTTTATTTTTGTATTAATCCCACGCTATAAATGTTAAAAATCATTAAAAAATCAGCAGGTTCATGCCAGAGTATCACGGGCAATTAGATAATTAGTTTTGACCAAGTGTATGACCCTAAGGTCATACCTTGATTATGTTTCATACTTTGGTTTCATACTTGGATATGAAACATCTAGGGCAGAAATTATTTCACAGGTAAGTGAAATTGCTTTACTTCAGTTCTGCATACTACTCTGCTCAGAAAGAAAAGGAATATGGTAGAAAAATTCTTCATAGAACCAAAAAAAAAGTTGATTATGTGAAAAATACACTACTTGGTTGCCTCTACCCTTCTTTTGCTCTATGTGTACTATTTCAAAGATTTATTTTTATGCAATTGAAAGAGGGCTTAGATATTGTTCACAATGCAGTAAAACCCTGGTATGACTTTGAGGCTAATACAACCTTGGAGGAAAATCAAAAGTGTTGAAAACTACTGTCTATTTTGTTAGCACTGGATAATAACGACTTGTTCTAACAAGTTATCTTATCAGGTTTTACCTGTAGTTCATATGCTAGAAAGCAATCCAGTTCACATTTTTAAAAATGTGATGTTTAACACATGTCAATAAACATTTTGTACATAATAACAATTTCCTATGAATACCTTACAAACTTCCTCTGGAATCATTCTTATTTCGAATGCCAGGATAAGTATTTAAAGGTTTGTAAATTATTTCTTGACCTACATCATTTTGTATTAAAACAAATGCAAAATGTTCTTCAGAATAAAACTGTGTAATAATTTTATTTACATGGGGCTCCTTTTACTAATAGTTTTTCACCAAGAAGTTCAAAAAGTTAAATTTTGTTTGCAGTGTTTGGACAGAGGAAGGGAATATGTGGAATATATCAGTCTACATGCAGTAGTACATATCATCAGTCTACATGCAGTAAGTATTTTAACCAAATATTTTAATACTGAAATAAGATATGTTTGGCTTCTCTCTACAATAACTTAGCTATGATTTTTGAAAAATGCCCAATTGCTTTTATTATTTTACAAACATATTTATGAGTGTACAGAATATGCATAATACAATCTCACTGTTCTTTTTTCCAGTGTTTATTTAACTCCCTCACTTGGTTGCAGATCAATTGAAATTAGACACTTGAAAAGGATTCTAAATTGTAGAAAGAGCACCAAAACTGATGTACAAAACTTTTGTGGCCTTAGAAGCCTGAGACAAAAAGCAGTTGGGGAAATGGCAATACTAATACCAGTTCTGTACATTTTAGCAGTGTTTCTTACACTGAAGTAACTTGAACCGTGTATGCAAAAAAAAATTTTAGGCAGTTTTTCTTTCTTAATCTGATTGTCCCCAGCTGGAGCCCTCCAACTGCCTGGAACATGTGTGAGAAGYTCTTACCCTGGAAATGCAGATCCCTCTCACAGGACACTGCTGGCTCAGGCCATGCTGTCAGGTCTAGTAACTTCCAAATTCCTAAGGCAAAATGTTTTTATAGTTAACTGTTCTTAAATACCTTAAATATCTCATTTACAAAAAAAAAAAAAAAAAAAAGTATCTGGATAAAATTCAGAAAATACAGAATAATATTGAATTGCATACATAACTAACTCTGAAATAGTCCTCCTGTCCTCTGCACGACAGCAAAACAGCCTCAAAGCAGCTAACTCAGCTAGCAGGCTGCAGGGCTGCGCAGAGCATGAACCTTGTAGCAGTTCTCAGGGTTCCTCCGCAGACTCATCGCACTCRGAAGCAAACAATTTTAGCAGGAAATGTGTATCAGCCAGTAGATACAGTGCAGGAGAAACTGTTTGTGGTTTTGTGATGCCTAAAGATTTCCCCAGGGAGCCAAAACTACCAAGTAACTGGGCTATTTCTTTAATACTGCATCAAAGGAATGAGATAAAGGAGCCTCAGCAGTATCAGTGGGGCTAAACAAATAACGCAACCACAGCTGCTCAACCCTGAAAATAATTTTGGTATTTAGAAGAGGAAGAATTTGCAAGGTACCTGTATATGTCTAAAACTGCTAGAAAAGGTAATGACGTTTTGGAAGAAATGCCCTATGTGGTTGCACAGAGCAGCAGCGTGTACCAGAGCATGCAGTCTGGCATGTAAACATCAGCTTGCAATTTCCTCATCTTTTAAAGCTTGACACATCAGAGTGTGGCTCTCTGTATCCTGTGGTTAGTTATGTAAGACAGTGGCTAGTTAATCCTCTGCAGTTGTATAACAGCAATCCCCACCGTAYATGCCTAGAGTGCAAAGCCATGTTATTAACCTGCAAATGCAGGGGCTCCAGTAGCTACTCCTTCCAAACTGCTGCTTGTTGCAGCTGGACTGCACTGGGAAAGTCTCACCAGTCTGTGTTAGAAATTGTGAGTACCCTGATGCTTATTCCAAATGAGACTGATACCTTAAATGAAAAATCATAAAAGCATTAGTCCTAAATAAACCCTATTTTCCACGAAAAGGAAGATTATACGAAGTTTGTTCTTTCTTCAAAAGCAGTTGCATCAGATGAATTATCTTATTGATACAGCTATCAATCACTTATTACTCAAATATTCTTGCTGCATCCTAAATTCCTAACAAATGCATCAAACAGAAAAGGTTTACCTGACTCCTCCTGGAGCAGACTTCACTGTTCTTGTTTTATGTCTTCAGTGCTTCTGTTTGCTTTTTTTGCAGATACTCCAGTGAATGAAGTTTTTTTTTCCTCAGTTAATAGCAAGGCTTCTCACCACTGCTTTGCAGCAGCACCAGGTAGAAGTATCTGCCTTAACATCTGCAGTTGTCCCTCTAGCCAGCATTTGAGTCAGCAGTTTTTTTACAGTCTGCTCAAACAGTGTAAAATTCTTTTTGTTTTTCTTGGAAAAAAACCCAACTACTTTATTCTTCTGTTCACTGAAAGTTCTGAGCAAACGATAAACAGGTTAGTCACTCACAGCTCTAAGGGCTGTATTTACAGTATTTTCAGTATGTTGTAGAAGTTTGGATGGTGACTTACTATTGCAGGTTTTTGTTATCCTCTGTGGGCTGATAACAGTCCTTTGCTTAGGATTACATTATCTGTTGTAATGTCTAAGATCGCAGAAGCATTTACTTTATGAATTTGCAACTTAGTCACTAGTTATTTCAGAATAATTAATAAATCCATATATAATTCTCAGTTCAGTATCTTTAGGTTTTTTTTATTCAGTATATGAAAGTTAAGACACAGAAAACAACCTTGAAAGACGACATATCATCCTTTACACATCTGAAAATATTTAAACAAAGATTTAATTCCTAACTAAAGTATAAACAGTGGTTCATTAAAATACCTGTCTTGTAAAAAAAAAAAAAAAAAAAAAAAAAAAAAAAAAAAAAACTTCACAGATCATCTGTATCTAATCTGATGCAGTGACTTTGAGTAGTTTTTCATTTAAAATCTATCTTGGCTTTAATATTTATTTATTTATTTATTTATAGTAAAGCTTGTGCAATAGTCAGGCACCATTTGGAATAGTTCCTGAGAAACTGTTTTTGACAAGCCTCGTCTCTGAGCAAAGGCCAGTAACGTTAAGGAAGATATGGAATGTGCAGGCGCTGCGGTTGGTGATAGACTGGTCTGACTGAGGCAGCTCAGACGGTGAATGGAAAGCTGCTAAGCTGCATACAAAAGGACAGTTTTGCAATGTACTTTTTACAAATATCAGCTCCTGTTCTGCACTTCTTAGAAAAATAATTCAAGTGTTTGGTAAGTACAATGAATATCTTCTTTCTGTATGCTAGGTAAGAATGCTGAGTATGGCTAAAGCTGACTTTCAGTGAGGGTTTGTAGACTCTACATTGTTCCCATTAAAAAAATAAAAATTCTGGACACGTATAGGTTCCCTGCTCTCCTTGGAATGCTAATACAACGTACTTAGTCTCAGGAATGGGTGAGTTTTAAATATATGCTTCCATTTCCTTAGCTAGTGTTGGCAGGATGCGGAGATTACTGGCTAGCTGTTATCCTGGCTAACCTGCTTACAAGAGTTAAAAATCCTTTCTTTGACTAACAGAGCATAACATAGTGATTTTCAAAGTAACGTGCATTAATATCTTCATGCAATTATACAGTGTAACTGGCTTACATGTGCAACTGACCCAGCATTTAGAAATAGCTTCTCTTCCAAAAAAAAAAAGTACCCCAAAAGTCATGCTAAACTAAAATGAACAGCTTAAACTAAATGATTTAAAAATTCATTAGATAGTGAAAGTCTAGTGGATCAAATTCRTAATTATTTTAACAAAGAGATACTGTTTTGCATGGCAATTATTTTTGGGGCATCTCCAGCAGGAGATASGAACATGCTGGTAAAAGCCAAAGTGGCAAGGGCGGAGAGAGAATGAAAACATTGGTTATCGCTGTGTTTCCAGGGTCTTGGGCCTATACACAGGAACATTTCTCTCACAAAGTGGTGGGAGCCCCTTAATTATATCCGCAGCCTTCTCTGCTATCATAATAGTTGGGGCATTCAGATTCCCACTGACAACACTAGGCATTATCGAGGCATCTACTACTCTCAAGTTTTCAACTCCAATTACTTTTGTTTGGGGATCCACTACAGCGGTGCTGTCTGCAGGCTGACCCATTTTACAGGTGCAGGAAGGGTGATAAGCACTATCAGCCTTCTGCCTTATGAATGCATCTATTTCTTTGTCAGACTGAACGTGGTTTCCTGGTTGAATTTCAGGCCCACAAAATTTTTCAAACGCTTTTTGAGCAAAGATCTCTCTGGTCAACTTGACACACTGGCGGAATTCCCAAATATCTCTTTCTGTATGGAGAGAAAACAAGATGAGTTTAACTACTCCCTTTACTTAACAATATTTCCCTGTACATAACATGAACAATAAAATCAAAGGAAAAAAATGGAGAAGTCTGAAAGCCACAATCAAGAAGAACTTCTTTTCTGAACTGCAAATATTTATATTCATTGTCCGTTGTATCACACACCCCAAGGATAAGCAAGCTAAGAATAGTTCTTGATTTGCCTGTACTCACTTTCTAGACAAGAACACTAGTCAGAACAGAGCGAACCAAGACCCACTGCTCAGAGCAGAGGGATGAGCAAAGAGGGTGGTGCTGCAGTCCTGAATTCTTTTGGGCTCACACAGTGTTTTTCACAATGATCTCTTTAATACTGACTTTTATAAGCAGAAAATAAATAACAATGTGTCAACCAACACTTCCTAATTGGTGTTGAATAGATCGGCTGACACAGGAAGGAATTAAGCAGACACGAGAGCAAAGAAAAGCTGCCTTTACCTGTTGACATATAGTTAGGTTCAATGATAGGATGGTCATTTGGGTTTGTAGTCTTCAACTTCAGCCAGCCCACGCTGGTGCTCCTCATGGGCCCCACGTGGACCTGCAGAACACCCATGTTTCAGAACTCAGTATGGTTCATTTTTTGCAATTCAAACTGTCTTTACAAATAAATCAAATTTTAGAAAAGGTAATGAAAAAGGCCAAAATGAAAATATTTTTCTATTTTATTTTCTATTAATTAGCTGTAAATATGATATTGTATGCTGGGGAAGGCAGAAATAYACCTGTGCTTCCAATTGATTTAAAGTTTTTAAATTAAAAAATGTAATTTTTCATTTAAAAGACAATCGTTCCAGTTTAGTGGTAGCTGAGTATTCAGAGGACTACTTTCATTACTGTAGAAAATACATTAGCAAGAATGAACAAGTACATTCAGTAACAGTTCCCTGGTGCTAGCAGAGATTTTTTTTTGCCATCTATATTACCTGTTGATACAAAAGATGACATAAAAGAAAAAAAAATTACAAGTTACAGACAAAATTATACACAGACAAGATTCTAAAGCAGGGCTTGCATTTGTATCAGTTAATAGGTATACTGCATCCTATCCCAATATAAACCTCTGCCCAAACTGTGGTGGAAAAGGGACCACCTTGTTTTGGTTTTGTGCAGTATCTGGCACAATCCACAGCACTGGCACTAAGGTACAGTGCAAACAGTACAACACATCCATATGTTAGAGATAAATGGCAAGATAATTTTGAGAGCAGTATCAAACAGTAAATCCATATTTTTCCTTCAGTGAAGGGGATCAGCCAACCTTTTATTATAATACAAATAATGCAAAAAAAGAAAACAGTATATAGCCAAATTATCCACATCCATAATAAATTGTAGGCCTCCTTGCTAACTGCCACGGACATTAGTGCAAGAGGCCTTTTGGCAGCTCACCTGATAAGCTTCCATGGTGGAAGGAACCCGACCATGATCAATCACCTGAGAAGGGAGAAAGTGGAACTGAATGTCAGGGTGAGGAACCCCCGCTTGACTTCGGATAAAACCACCAGACTCTAGATGAGCAGTTGCTCCCTCACCTAGAGAGTGTAAACAAGAGAGAAAAAGCCACTAAAGACATTAAAAAAAAAACATACAGAAATCGCTTCTTAACCCTTGCCTCACCACTATAAGTAACTGATATTCATAGAGGAAATTACAAGAATTTCCTTGTCTGCATACCTGTAAACTTCCAAAGCCATTCTAGACCAATTTTCACCATGTTAATTGGCTTTTGTGCATTATACAGAGTAATAGGCTTGGTGCACTTCTGCTGGACGTACACTTCCAAATGATCCTGGAGGTTCTGGCCCACTCCTGATTAAAAGGTTAAAAATGGGGTGCAGAGAGAAAAAAAAAGGGCGGGGGAGAGGAAATAGTTACTTCACACAGAAAAACTATATAGAATATTTGCTACCAGAAAATATAAGTGCAGAAAACAGAAAGCATAAATGGGAACTAAACTAACCCCTCACAAGGGCAATGATGATTAACAYCAAAACAAGTCATGTTGGTCTTTTGCTTGTGTCAGAATAAAGTTTTACACAAATGGCATACATATCTATGATTTGCTCTGAAGGTGCCAGATATGATTTCTGAATACCGCATCAGTTTTTCCAGTTTACAGGATATTTTCAAAAATCCATGTTATTCCTTCAATCTTTAGGTATAGACAGGACAATCTGCTGCGGATTAAAACTCTTCCTTCAAATTTCTAAATCTTAACTGAGCTGCTTTGCCTTGAGGCTGCTCACTGTCAATTTTCAGATGAACCAAGGAATGCTTTTACTTGATGGTCTTTGATTTGCATCCTTAGGAAGGCAAAAGGTGAAAAGAAATAAGAAAATTACCAGGAAGGTGGCAAACAACAGGGATTCCCAGTTTTTTTAGATCATCTGCATTGCCAATTCCAGACAACATGAGCAGCTGTGGAGAATTTATGGCACCTCCACTTAAAATAACTTCTTGACTGGCAAATGCCTAAAATGAAAGGAGCACAAAAGATCTAACATTATTAAGGCTGATCTGAATACAGGCAACAAATGACGAGGCTCTGCTAGGCTATGCCACGAGGGTTCAGTTTAGAYACCCTTCTCCCACCCCTCCCCATTCTAAGTGCTTTTTCTATCTTTCCAGAAGTTTCTGTAGAGAGAAASGATCAAGCTTTCAATTTGATCATTTCCATATTTATTCCCATGTTTTTAACGTGCTCCGGCTGTAGTTCAGCCAGGAATAGRGCTGCCAGCAACTCCATTGTTTCTTGTCAGGAAAAAACAAATCTATGATTGCATCAGCGTCCAGTGTCCACTGCGTTTTCTGCACGGGTTATTAAACAAAACCTGACACTCTTAAGGAGATTTTGAATTCAGAGTCAAGAGAGCTCAAAAATCCTCAGGAGCTCATTTCCTCAGTTGAACCAAGATTGAAGTTTGGTTTCTCTGCTCATTTAAGTCCTCAGAAGCCCCTTAGTCACTCACACACAACTGTGAAACCTCTGATAGCATACATCCATATATATGTGTGTGTATATATATATACACACACACACACACATATATATATTCTGTTTTGCTAACAGACTTTTCTGTGCTTCAGAGTTCATTTTCTAAAACCTTCTCTGCAATGTTTCTGGCACTTCTTTCCATTTTTGTCAAGATATTCTCACTTTTGCATTGCCAAAATCATCCTCTGTGTCATTCACATCTAGGCTCTACTGCTTTTTCCCTTTTCCTACAACTCTTAAATTTAGGATTAGGAAAACAAAAACAAAACAAAACAAAAACAAACTAAAAACCAAACTCCCCCTGTTGTGCTTTTCATTGTTAAAAGAGAAAAAGATGCGCTCAGTGAAAACACAGTCACAGACCTTTCCCTTTACTCTTTGAAAGGAGGGGATGGGGGCTCTGGGTCTTTTTCAGACTAGCCCTTCCTTTTCCAGTGAGGCGGCTCATGAACACCCATGTTCAATGCACTCCACTCTCCCTACTCACAGGTATTTTGCCTGTTGACATATGAGTTATTTGAGTGTTTTAGAGCAATACACATTTGCAGATGTAATACTGACATAATATGGACCTGGGAATATACATCCAGCAATACCAAACATCTGACAACAGCAAGCACACAGCACACCAGATATGCGATTATGTCTCTGAACCTCCTCTCATTACCCAGCAAAACCCACAGGGCTGCAAGATSCTGCATTGCTCAGCTCCTGCTCCTCCTCTTTTGTAGAATTTAAGGTGCTATCCTGAGTTGCTCCTTGTTTTTATTTTAGGTGGGATACTTAGCTTCTAAAGCAACATGAAGAAAAGAAGTGTTAATTGTTTCTGTAGTATAGTGACAGTTAACAGATTTTCAAGGAAAGTATATTAATTTGTAATAATGATCTCATTTTTGAATAACACCACGTCTATACAGAATGATAGTGAATGAGATTTTTCTTCATTATTAAATTAAAATCTCAAAAGAAAATAAATCAATTTTCAAAGAAAAGACCAGCATTTCAGCAAAACAGTGAATATGCTGAGACAGGGTGTGATTACAGCATAGGTTCCTCCCAAACACTCCTGAGAAACAAGATACAGGCTGTCCCTCAGGTATGAAGTGGGAATGTAGGGAAATATAACTGGGAGGTTAATATCTGAATCAATATAACTGACATACCACGTACTGTAAAGTAATTCACAAGGAATCACATACTGGAAAAAAACTCACAATATAGCATCTTAAAAGAGGATTTCATACATTTTGTGAAGATGACACTTTTTAACAAACCTTTTTTTTTTTTCAAAACAGTATTTTAGTTTTGCTTTAACTAATATCTTTCATACAGAAAAGTAAAATTTCTTACCTTTTTGCTTTGCCCGTTTTCCATATACTCAACACCAATGGCTTTTGTTCCTTGAAACAAGATTTTTGTTACTATTGTCTTCTGTGTGATTGACAAATTTGGGCGTGATATGGCTGGCCGGAGGTAAGCACTAGCTGTGCTCCATCGTTGACCTGCAGTGCATATTTACACTAAATATCAAAGTAGCCATGCTCATCATCAGCAAGATTTTCCTGAAGAGCAATCAGGATAGTTATATAGGAAAAAGGAGGAAACATTCCCATGTAGCGTTCAAAGCAAATGTGATGCAATGTAATAACTAAAGATTTTAACACATTGARCTTCTCAAAGCTATTCTGAAAACTACCTTCCTATCCAAAATTAGCTATGGATTAAGACTTGCAAGCTAATATAATATTCACTGAAACACACACTAGCCTGGTAGGAAGCTGCTGTAAAATGAACAGGGAACATAGCTAGAGTGCAGTAATTCTTTACTAAGCCAAATAACCAAATGGCATTTAGCATGGGTTATAGGTCTCTATTCCATAGAACTATTGATGCTTCAGACACACGTCTTACAGAACCCTTTGTGATTTACCTTTGTGTACAGTCATATCCATCCAGCCAAATCCTTCTTGCTGATAACCATTCATGTCATCTGTGAATGGATACCCGGCTTGCTGGGCTGCCTCCAGGAACGCATGATGAAGAGGATTGTTTGTTTTCCCCCTTGACACATACAGAGGTCCGTTTCCTCCTCTGTACTGATCTGGTCCCAGTTCATGTGTCTGTGCCTTCTTAAAATAAGGCAAGCAATGCTCGTAGTCCCATCCCACAGCCCCTTCCCTGCTCCACCGGTTATAATCCTCAGCGTGCCCACGGATGTACACCATAGCATTGAGGGACGAGGAGCCGCCCCACACCCTGCCGCGGGGCCAGTACATAACTCGGTTGTCCATGTGCTTTTGTGGCCTTGTGTGGTAGTACCAGTTATATTTCTCATCGCAGAGGTTATACGTTAATGCAGCAGGCATGTGAATCTTCCACATCAGTCTTTTGCTCCCCAGAAGGGTGTCTTTAGGGCCTGCTTCCAAAAGCAACGCAGTACTGAGASGGTCCTCGGTCAGTCTGCTGGCCAGCACACACCCTGCTGAGCCGGCGCCAACGATCACGTAGTTGTGAGAACTCGCAGTGCCAGGACTAAGCCGAGAGAGCRCGCGCGAGGCTGGAAACCTGCTGCCCAACTCCTTCCGTAGTGCGCGTGCTCCCAAGAGCGCTCCCGCTGCTCGGCGCATTTCACTCACAGGGCTGTAACATCTAACTCCGATTAAATATGACATCTTTACTAATAGCATCGTTCTTGTGGGAATTGTCATAAAATCCAAAGTTTTTCCCTAGAAAAACAGCATAAAAGTCCCAAATAAGATGTAAGACTCATTACAGTGTATGGTCTCTAAAAGAGCAGTTATTTTCAACACGAAAGGTGCACATGCTAATGGTTTCTTAGCCACTTAGCAACTACTTAGAACTACTGTAAGATATTGTAGTTTTGTTGCAAAGGGCAGCAGATGTTGGAAAGATACAGCAGGTCAAAACATCTTTCCTTAACAGTTTGTGTTATCCCAGGATTTGGATTTCCTTCTGATTCCTGAGGTAGCTACAGGAAGCACCACGAGTTTTTCAAGTCTTTGCCAAAACCATAATGATGGAAAGCTTTACTTATTCAGTAGTCTCACTCCATCTACCTCTTGTAAAAGTAAATTTAAGAAAAGATCTCTGCCACTCAGTGCTACTGGATGACCAATTCACAACAGTGAAAATGATGAGAATGTCAGACCTCACCTGTGACAATGTCACCACAAAACACATGCTTAACAGTGAACCTCATTTTCAACTATCTCAAAAGTGAAAAAAATGACTTTTTTTGAGGCAAAGACAATGTTTGAAACTTCTACAAAATGAACAAACAGATGCATTGGAAAAGAGTTGGCTCTGTTAAAAAAAAAAAAAAAAAGAGAGAGAGAGAGAAATGGCAGGAGAGAAATTGATTTCAGAGTAAAAAGTGAAAACACCTGATTCTCATATGGCAGATTCAAAATGGATCCCAGCTGAAGACAGGGGGCTGCTTTTTATATGGTAGCTTGGTAAAGCAAAAGGTTTGGTGGCTTCTTGTGACATAGCAGAGAAAAAAAACACAAAAGGTAGAGTGTCTTTATTTGTTTTTAAATCATTTTACTGTTGTTCATTAATACTGTATTTCTATAGTGTTTTAATTTTGGAATTGATGAATCGTGGTTCATCGATTTGGAACTGATGAATCATTTAGATGTAGGGCTTATGGTGTTGGTGGCACAGGGGCCGTGTAATCTCAGAAAGATACCCTACCTCTACAAGATGAATTTTGTTTGTGACAGTGAAGGTTTATTGTGATAGGTAAAGTGTTCAAACTTACCTCTGAAGAAAGAGGAACTTTCAAATTTTGGTTTTAAAGATGGTCAATGCTTATTATTTATATACCTGGAGTTCACAAACTCCAGAACAAAATGTAGCCTCCTTGGTTTGGTGTGGGCTCCATAAGGTTATTAAAAGTTACCTTAATTTCTGACCAAAGTGTTGGCTGCTACATCCAGATTTATTTTTTTCTGTTGTCAAGAACTAAGGCAGTGCTTGTAGGAACTGTATTTGAATATGTGTTTCCCAGTTCCTAGTTTTCAGCTTGGAAGCRTGGAGTTATTATCTTAACAAAGGTCCATGAGGCTACAGGGTGTGGTGGGGCAGCTGCCTATGGAATTTAGCTAGTAAGGAGCTTGAGCTTTGAGGCTGTGCTTCTAAGCAGGGCCTAAAGACACGTTTTAAAAGAGCGGAGTGAGGAAGGACATCTTAGCAGCAAAATCCAGTTGCTACAACACAAGAGTAACGTGTGTAGTTGTAAGCCATRTAACTGAGTGGGCTGTGGAGTTCCAAAACTACATGTTTGGAGATGGGTTTATGATTGCAAACGTGTCTGAAGGTAACACCAGGCTTGCATGGTAAATAAAGCAGTCTAAGAAAGTTACAGGACACTGGGCAGCATTAGAGTTAGCCCAGCAGATCTGTCCAGTTTTTAATCTAACTGAAACTTTAACTGAACTGAAAATCAGATTGAAACAAAAAAAGCTGGGTGCCTAATTGGTTACAGCTGTCCTTGCCTGGGCTAGAAAGCAGACACACCAGCCAGGAATGGTGCACACGGTTTTGACTACTCCATCACATACATGGATCAGATTTAGATTGAAATGTTACTTCATGTTTTTCTTTGTTTTATTGCTTATCAATATGTTTATTTATGTTGGAAAAATACTAAATGGGACCATAGGGGCAGCATGACACTTGAGATGAAGAACTATATTTTAATGCTCAGAAAGTGGGTAGGAAGTGAAGCTGGTTAACAGACCCTCACATGTGGACGTTCATGAAGGTCTGTGGCTTTAGCAAAGCGTGGAGGTTGGAACCGACCTTTGCCATTCGATGTGGGCTCAGCAGCTGCAGGGTACGAGGCAGGTTTTGGAGCAGGAGCCCCTGTGTGTGCCTGGGCCTGCCGGAGGGCTCTGCCTGAGCCGCCTTCCTTTGGACCTGGCCTGGAGCAGCTGGGTGAATTTCCGCCCTCTGTTATTTACCGGGGTGAAAATAATGATCACCGGGCTCCCTGTGTGCCCAGCAGAGCCGTGGGGGGCTGCGGGGGGCCGCTGCCCAGAGTGGCTCCCGCTGCTCCCCTGTGGGCACCTCGGGAGCCAAGTTTCACTTCGGGAAAGCCGAAGSGAAGCGGGTCGGCGGTTTCAAACCGAAGCTGTTTTCACTTCTGTCGGACCCGACCGCTGCCCGCCGGGGGAGGCCGGGCCCCGCGCGGCTCCGCGGCCGCCCTCGCCTCGCCCTCTCTGCGCGCTGCCCTACGGGCCGACCCGCCGCGCGCTCC